GCTCTTGTAGACGAGACTGGTCTGGAACTCACAGAGATCTGTGGGGATCACAGACCCTGGCCGGAAACCCACCCCTCCATCAGCCTGGGAGCAGGCAGCTGCGAGATAATGTTTACTGAAAACAATTCAGTGCCATAAAGCTCTTGATAGGGCTCCGATAAGGGCTGGCTCACTGAAACTTTGATCCCCCTACGGCTAGACGCTTCTTCCTGCTCCCTGCTGTTTCTCCCCGATTCTGGTGCTGGAGATTCAATGACCAGCCAGGAGGGTGAGAAGTCTGGGAAAGCTGTGAGAGGTGTGTGAGAGCTCGGTTGGAGAATTGTGTATGTATGGATGGCAGAAGTCTTTAAAAAGGGAAGCGTTTTTTCTTGGGGGGCTCTCCTAAGCCGACTTGGGGAGCATAAAGTTTTCTTAAAGCAACCGACTGGTCTCTGTGTCATCTATTCCGACCACCTTGCTACATTCTCAGATGCAGGCTGCTCAGCAGGTGTGACAGAGATCCACCTGCCTCTGTCTCCTGAGTTCTGGGATTAAAGGTGTGCCACCACTGCCTGGTAATGTACGGCTTTTAGCTTCAACCCAAGCACTGAACTCAGATTGAGTGAGATTGAAACTCATTCTCATATCAAATCACGTAGACATGCTTGTACATGCAGGCACACACACTTTCTGGTCACCACAGACCAGGGCATCTGGTTGTTTGCTGTGGTGTCCATGAACAGCAGCGGCAGTCTCTAAGATCCTTTCTGATCCCAGCCAGGGCTTGGTTCTGGTAAAGTAAGTGTTCATGCAGGCAATTGGACTGGTTAACTTTGCAATGTCCTAGCAATAATTTATCCTAAAAACGATTGTCACTGCTGTTGTTATATGGGGGGCATTGCACAGGTAGTATGGGTGTGCAGAGGGCAGAGGCCGTCTTTGAGGAGTCCATACTCTCCATGTCTACAGGCGTTGCTGGGACTGAACTTGAGTCATCAAGCCTGTGTGACAAGCACCTTTACCTGCTGAGCCATTTCACCGGCCTGTGTTTCTAAGTCACAGCTAAGTCCTCTTCTTGCCCTTAGACTCGAAATAGAGTCGGAGGACAAGGGACTCGCAGGCAGGAAATGGCTGAAGGAGCAGGCCCTGTTGGTTGTCAGCAGACAGCATCACCCTTTCTGTGTGGTGGCTGCATCCCTCTCTCACTTCCTCTGAGACCGTGATTCACCAGTTGTCTGTGCTCTGTCCCCACAGGGGTCTCTGCTTTTCCCAATTTCAGCTCTTCTGTGTCAGAAATGCAAAGGATGCTTTTCTCTTGAACTGTATTTCTGGGATTAGCTGGTGGTCGATGCTGCGCCACACACACACACACACACACACACACACACACTCCACGCATGCACACATGAGTGTGTTGGTAGATTTTTCCATCTCAGGACTTACTAGTTCAGGTTGAAGACAAGCAGAGAGCTACAGTTGATGGAAAAGTGGCTGTATTCTGGGGAAAAAATTGCGTAAATGGAGTGAGTCATTGCTGACAACGGGATAGCGCATAGTCTGGGCAAGGTCATGACCCCCATCTGAGACAAATCTATCACACAACACCAAACACATAATTGTATCTAGCATCACAGAATCACATTGAACTAAGCAATGATCATCGATCAGATAAGGCGACGGTAGTTTAGAACTAAAAAGGAAAAATTTTTGGAATTCTCTTTTGCTCTAGGGAGGTTCCATGACTCTTCCAATTCTATTTAGAGTTGGCTTTGCCACTCCTGGTTTAATCCTTCCCAGGAGCAAACATATTTGAGAGATTCTACTGGATCTTCCTGATGCCAAGGCTCAGGAAAGGAGGGGACATGAAGGGAGCTGCCCGTCTGCCTTCTTAGGGAGGCCAGCCTTGCAAAGGCAAGCATTTTCAGTCCTTTATTGTTTTCCGACTCTCGGACTTGAGGCTTCTCTCTGTCTTATTAGAGATATAAGAGTCACGGAGCTAATCAAACATTGACACTGGGTTGTCTATGTTATGACAGAAACACTAGCAAACAGAGGATCATTTAAAAACTACCTAGGACTATTAAAATAGGAAGACCTCACTAACATTTCAGAACCAATCAGTGCGCATGTAGTGGATGTGTGTTCTGATGTAACTTTGCCTGTTTCAATGTCGGGCAAAATCAATGGAGATGGTACAGATTAGTTATCCCCAACACAGGGACTCAGTCTCGGGCCTGGAAGAGGCAGAAGCCTCACGGAGCAGAGCATTCCCTTCACTGCAGGCATAGACGGTCACCTCCCTACCATCACTGTACCAGGGGCTGGCAACACCAGGAAGAGGAGGGCAGGCGGCAGGTTAATCCATATGTGTCCCGCGCTACCGTCTCGCCAGCAAGAACGACGCAGGACACTCGGATCCTTCTGCAGTAAAGCTTTAATGCATCTTGAGAGATAGATGATCAGCTTCTGAGAGGGAGACCCCAAGCTAAGAAACCCAGCCCCTTATATAAGCCTAGGAGCTCTGAGTGAGACGTGTAGAGCCGGGATTGGTGGTTTGCTCATCACCCCAGATGACGGGTGAGGCACAGCTTAAACGGTAAACTCCAACTGACAGCAGATGTCAGCGCCATCTTCTAATGGCGATAGCGATAGCGAGGGCGGCTCCTCACACATATGTGTGCCTAGCTTGGCTGTTTGGGTCCATGTCCACTTAGTTCATTATGTCAGTATTTCAAGATTTGTTGGGTAGATTTTTTTGTTTATTTATTTATATTTGCAGTGCTGGTGTGGAAACTCAGTCCTCTCATATGGTAGGTAATTACACTACCGCTGAGTAAGACCTCCAGTCCCCGGGTAGGTTTACTTTTTGAATGGTAAGTAATATTTACCGACTTAAAACAATACAATGTAGAGGTAACACTGCTGTTTCTCGTTATGATGCTGGACTTCTATCTTATTTCCACAGACTCGAGAAGGGCCTCACAATGTCTTCAGTCATGTTGACCCTGCGACACCAAAAGAATTTTGACTCCTGAGCCCTTAGTTCTGTTGTCCGCTGAGTCACTGCTAAGTTTTCCACGGCGTGTGTTTATTTATACATCATCTCATGCCACGGGCAGCTATTACCGTGTACTATTGAGGGTGTTCACTGCCTCAGCGTCACTCTCGCTGTGATGAAACACCATAATCAAAAGCAACCTGGAAGGAAAGGGTTTGTTTGACCCACGCTTGCACGTCACAATCAATCCGTGTCAACGAAGGCAGCCAGGGCAGGAGCTCAGACAGGGCAGGAATCCCGAGCTGATGCAGAGGCCAAGGAGGGGGGCTGCTCACTGGTCTTCTCTTCACGGCTTGCTCAGCCTGCTTTCTTGTAGAACCCAGGACCGCCAGCCCAGGGATGGCCCCACCAGCAATGTTTGGACACTCCCTCATCTGTCACTGTCGTTGCCTACAGCCTGCTCTTATGGAAGTGTTTTCTCAAGTCTAGCTCCCTCTTCTCAAAGGACTCTAGCTTGCGAAAGCTGACATAAGCCAGCCGGCACATCTGTATATGTTTTCAGTGAAAGACCAGCCAAGGGGTCTGAGGGACAGTGGCAGGGTAGAAAGGGAGGACAGTGGTGTGACAGGAGCCTTCAAGCTGGGGACCCCTCCCGCATGACTGAGTTGGCGGATATGGGGCACTATACGCCTGCTACAACCCACGAGTTACAGAGCACACGAGGTGATACCAGTGTAAACTATGGACTTTAGTGAAACAGCCATGCCAGCACTGAGTGTACCGCACTGATGCTAAAATGTAAATGATGGGAGAAACTGCGAGTGGAGAGGGGAGGGAAGGGGCGTGTAGAAACAACGCAATCCAAGGGGCGTGTAGAAACACCGCAATCCGCTTCACTCCTCTTGTATACTTTAAACTGCTCCGCAGCAAACAAACAAGTCAACCCCAAATGCCAAACGATGGGTCAAGAAAACGTGTTCTTCTAAGTCACGGAAACTGATGATTCTAACAGAATAGGTCAAAAGGTAAATGAGCTGATTTGTTCCCACAAGCCGTGGGAAGCGTTAAGAAACCCAGAACTGCGACTGAAAAAACTTTCTTTCCCTCCTTTGCGACTTGGGTAGACTGGTTTCGCCATGATGCTCAAACTGTGGGTGCCAGCTCGAGGCTCACGAGCTTTCAGCCTCAGCACGGGGGGAGGGCTCTTTCTTACCCAGTGCTTTCTTAGGCCGCCCCACCCCCACAAGGATGCCGGCTAGCCTGGCTTTACCCAGTCACAATGTGGATGGAGTACAGTCTCCCATGAACGTGGGTGTGTGCAAGGCAGGAGACAAGTGGGCAGGATGGGAACCTGCCACAGTTACATCGACCACAGATGACAGCTACCTGTGTCATCAATGATGCAGGTAGGATGGAGGCTTCGGTGGGCAGAAAAGGGGCACAGTCCTAGGAATAATCTACCAAGGGGGCTCCTTGAGTTATTGAGATGCTGATGTAAAGTGTAAGAGAAAAGAACGAGGAATGACTTCAAATGTTGTGTTAAGTAGCCCAAAGATGGAGCTGTAGTTAACCGTACAGACGAATACCATGGCACCACAGGTTGGGAGACATCAGGCTCATTTTGCATACATTATGGTCTATTAGCCATCGGACGGGAGATGTCAAATGAACAGTGGATGAGTGTCTTCCTCTGGTTGGTCACATGGCTCTTCATTCCCCTGGATTGCAAGCTCCATCAGCTCTGGGGCTTTGCCTGTTTTATTCACTGCTGTATAACCAATGTCTAGCAGTAAAATTTTACTAGAACTATAAAGGATGGGTGAGAGAGTAAATTGTTCAGCATCACAAAGCAGGGTGGCAGGGGTTAGACCATAGTACAAAGTATTTGTTCAAAAGTAAAATTGCTTGCCTGGCTGATACTAAGGAGAAATTTGTAACACATTATGTAACAGACAGACATTCCCTAGGAAGATCTACTTAAAATGAAAAAAATGTATACAAAAGCAAAGGAGAGAGAAAGACATTTTTGATCTTCTGTAAACCTTTATTTTCTGTTTAATGGACCACTACCAACTCAGGCCCTTAGCTTCCGGCTCATGTCTACAAAGTTATTTGTCAGAAACGTGGTAAAGGTAGAAATTAGAACTGTTTGTATGAGTGAACCATAGTTACCAGTCCTAAACAAAATGCACACCAAAGCCTGTGTATTCAGGTTTATGATGTTCTGAATTTAAAAATACATTTTCTATGTAAAAGAGCATCTTTAAAAGGACAATAAACAAACTGTGCATCTATGTCTAACGATGGGCATGCATAGGTGTGCGACACTCCAGAGCTGCAGTGGAACTTGGCTACTAACACACAGAGGGATAGTATTTCTCAGCCCTGAAGTCCAAGCAACCAGAGCCTGATGCAATAATATATGACACGACAGGCTGACAACTAGTTTCTCACAAATACTCTACCCATTGGCATACGACAGAAACTCCAGGCAACTTGTCAGTTGCACCACAAAGTAATACTGGGTTGGGGATGTAGCTCAGTGAGAGCCCTTGCCTAACATATGTGAGGTCATGGGCTTAATCCCCAGTGCAAAAAATAAAACACTCTCACGCATAAAAAACAAACAAACACCCACATGGAAATAAAGAGAAAAGTATAATACTTCCAACCCCATGACCCGACTACTGTGTTTTCAAATCATTCAACCTGATAAAATCCCCTACTGTTAGCCTACGAGTCATTCGCTTGCACGATGCCTCCCATAATCTGTAATGCTAACTGGGTTACAAATATGGAACACTTGAGATTCTTATGTGTGAAAACTGACCAAAGTGGGCTGTATTATCAACAGTCAGCTCCCAACATGTACTTTGGCACAAACACAGGGCATTCTAAGATTATACTAAATCCATCTGTACCATTACACGCGTGCACGCACACACACACTCCATAGAGACTATCACAGAAAAGTTGGCTAAAAGAAATGTACAATTAGTTATATATTTATATACATACAAAATAAAAGATATTTTGTCATTCTCACAGTCTGTAAACATCTGGGGAAATGCCCAGTAGAGTTACTGTGGGCCCTTTGAAATGGTGACCATTGGGGATCTGGGGACAGAAAGGAGATTTAGTTCCTATCAGAGAAGAGCGAAGAGTTGAAGGTTCACAAAGGGTTAACTACATTTCAGTCAACATTATCAGCTCATTTAAGTCAACATTATCAGCTCATTTGGCCACTTTGAAACCTTTTCCTGTCTGGAAAAAGGGACGATCAGGAAAGCCTTGTAGTCAGTCATCATTGTAGAAGAAATTGAGAGCATAAAATGGACTGCGTATTATATATGTGTTATTATGATAGAACGTAAAGAAAATTTTTAGGTTCTCAAAAAATATTCAGCATTTTCCTCCTACGTATGCATCAGACATGACACTAGAAGTCTCAGGCATACTTCAGTGACTCATGTAAGTGTTAGGACATGGTCTCTCATTTAAAAAGACAGGCTTAAAAACAGAACCATTGAATGTCAGTATTATTATTAACAGCTATTATTTTTAAGGTGGAATCTTTGTACTTACTACAGGCAATTTTCCACTCAAAATCACCCTACCTCAGCCTCCCAGGTGTTAAGAGCATTAAGCATGTGGCATGTGCCATCTTGCCCAGCTCCCAAGTATCTTTTTTTAAAAAAAATTAACATAAAAATACGCTTAAGTCACACGCAGTGGCACATGCCCTTAATCCCAACACTTGTGAGGCAGAGGTGGGTGGATCTCTGTGAATTCAGGGGCTAGCTTGGCCCATATAGCAAAGCCCTGTCTCAAAATTGAAACAAAACAAAACCCAAATATGCTCTAATAAAAACCTTGTTTAAAAAAAGGAAGGAAAGAAAAAATACAGGTTCTTAAAAATTCTTTGGTTGGCACATACTAAACCGCTCCGGTGACTCCCAGTTCATGGCTGTACTTGTGGCAGCTTTAGAATTCATGTTTTACAATAAAACAGTGACACAGAAACAACGTAACTGTTCGTCTGGTGCCTCCTCCTCCTCCTCCTCTCAGTATATATAAATAAGGTGGAATAATCACTCCTAGGGTATCATGCAATTATAAGATATTAACACTGAATGACAGTTCCAAAAATGTGCTTTAACCTCACAGTGTGTTTGGCTAAAGAAAAGAATCTTGTCATAATGTCTAAACTCTCTTTTGTCTGTTTGTGCCTCTGAGACAGAATCTCACATAGCCCAGGCTTTTTTGAACCACTCGGATGAGGCTAACCTCGAGCTCCTGATTATCTTTGCCTCATTTCTTCAATTCTGGGATTACAGGCATGTGCCATTAAACCCAGCATCTAGATCAGTGGTTCTCAACCTGTGGATCGAGACACCCCCCTTTGGGGGTTGAATGACCCTTTCAGAGGGGTCACCCAAGGTCGTAAGAAACATCAGATATTTGCATTACTATTCATAACAGCAAAATAACAGTTATGGGGTAGTGACAAAAATGATTTTGTGGTTGGGGGTCACTGCAGCATGAGGAACTGTACTCAAGGGTGGCAGCATCAGGAAGGCTGAGAACTGCTGCTCTAGAGCCCAGTGACAACCTTTCTCACTGGCTGTTCCATAGGACTGCACGAAAGCTGGTCATGAACTTGCAAACTCTGTGTTCATGCAAAGACTGCAGACATTGTGTGGTTTCCTTGAATGATCTCCTTCCTCCCTCAGCTCTCATAATTTTCAAGTGTTGGATATGACATGCAGAATGTGCAGGTCATATAGAGTACTTAGGAGAGACCCACGGGCTGCGGTTAGCGAAGGGCGGGGGAGAGAGCTTGGGAGGGCTAAGGAGGCCCGCTGCTGTGTGCCCGTCTCTCCGAGAGGACTTGAAGACGGTGGTGCCTGGTGCTTCTGCAGGGCATTAGTTCATGCTGTCCTTGTGGCTGCTCCGTTCTGTGTTGTGATTGTTCTGGTCATGGTTCTTCCACTGGATGCTTGTTCCGTTCATGGGGACCGAGGTCATGAGGCTTTTGGACTGGTGACAACAGCAACAGAGGCAGGACTGGGGGAGGGAAAGAGGGAGTGTGTAAGTCAGCCTGCGGATCCATTCCTAGCCAAAACGAAAGCTGGGGGCGCACCAGTGAGGGGTCAATGCCCATGGACAACCGAGGACAGCTGGAGCTTGTCAAGAACAGACGGAGATTAGAAGCAAAGGTCTCCTGCTTCTCATTTTAACTGTGTTCTTTACGGTTAAGAGGAGGGACAGCAGTGCTGGTTGGAGAGGGGGCTCTTTCAGGGCATGAGCAGATACAGCTGGGAAGGGTCTGGGGGACCCGCTCTTCACCAGAGTGTTTCTTATGTGGTGCTCGGCATCTACCAGGACCTCAGCTGACCCTCACAACAGCCCCGCTGTAGGTGCTGTTGACATCTCTTTATAAAGGAAGATAGTAGGGCCCCAGTAGAAGAAGAACAGGCTATAAATTATAAGGCAGGGCTCTCTGGATTGGACTTTCCCCTTTTGCCATTCCCTTGGACCTGTGCTTAATTAATTTCCGAGGATTTTTAACAGGAAATTTCCCTTGCCCTATGATTAACATATAAATTAACCAGCAAGTGCTATCAAGCGCAACATATGAAATTCACTAGTTAGGACCTGTATGTATGTGAGCCAACCCATGTTAGTTCCAGCACCTTTCCAAGGAGACCTCAAAGCCATGGCGGCTGTAGTCCCGTTATCAACTCTCGTCTGCTTGTGCCCATCTCTGGGTGATACGTCTGCCTCTGCTTAGATCATGGGTTCTGTGAGAGCAGTTACTGTGATTTCCTTTTCTATGTTAAGCAATAGCCCACTCATACTGGGCACTTATTTTGTGTGTAAGTGTCATATCTATCTATCTATCTATCTATCTATCTATCTATCTATCTATCTATCATCAAAGCAGGAGTAAACAATTGATAATGCCAGTTGGGTACAGAGTACACTAATTTAGCTGTCTTTACAGAGAGAGAGAGAGAGCATGTGAAACAGTCTTACCTGGAAACAATTTTTGAATTTCTTGCTCACAAAATATAGAGCTATTGGGTTTATGCAAGAATTCATGGTTGCCAAGTTGATACCAATGTAATCCATGAGCAACAAGAAGCTGGAGCAAAAGAAAACAGTGTCATTAAAACATACTGCTTTAAAATCTGCTAAGTAGCACGTATCCCCCAGATTAGCATTTCTCCTGCCCCAAGCCGTGTCTCGTAGGTGGCAGGTAGAGTTTTGTGAGAAGTTCTGCAGGGCCAATGCCACGGTCAGTGGAAACCCATGGGCACACCTTCAGGAAGGGAGTGGCAAGGTTACAGACAGGACTCACACACGTTTTTGGGATCAATTATTGGTGGTGCCAGCTAACAACATATAATTAACTCTACAATGTTTAAGTTTCAGAGCTAGCTAGAATGTAAACACTCTGTAAACGTGAAAAGCCAACACCTGGAATCCTACCTGAGCAGTTCACATCGGTTCTTATCCGTCTCATCATACACGGTCTTCTTCAAAATGCGGCTTAGGTGAAGAGGGAACCAGCAGAGGGCAAAGATGACGACCAAACAGAAGACCGTCTTCGCCACTTCTCGGCGCTAAGGGCACGTGCAACCAGATGAGGGTAAAGGTTAGCGCTGTCGCATGGCAGAAAGCGACACACATGAAGGGAGGAGGGGCCACGGGAGGGTCTGGAGTGGCCTCCACATGACGTCTACATTTCAAGACCCAGAGCGCAACCGTCTCACGGAGGAGTCATTAACCATGCCTTTGGTCAGTCTCCAGGTTCGAGATGTCCCGAGGACAACAGCAGAGGTCTATGCCAGGAACAAGGCAGGAGCTGGCTGGAGTCAACGCCAGGGTTGAATCTAAGTATGAAGGCATGTGTGTTGGTGAGTCTAAGCATGGGAGCATGTATGTTTGTTGAGGGAGTGTGTGTTTTCGAGGCGTGCAGATGACTGGGGGGCGACTACTTGGGGTTAGCTGGAGGCTGGGTATCAGGCAATTGGCCTTAGAGATGGCGTGATAGCCAAGGCAGCTGGACACAGCATGAAAATTGACAAGTGTACAGAGAAAGCAACCCGTTTTACTGTTTCTGCTTTAGAAGCTACTGTTGAAGGTGTTTTGCTTTTATTTTTACTATTTGCTTCTTTTGTTTGAGACTGGGTCTCAAAGAGACCCAAGAGATGCCTTTGCATCAGTGCTCTTGTTTACATTATAGGCACCTGCTACTATGCCTGGCTTGAAATTTGCTTTAAAATTTAAAATTCCTTTTTAACGACATATAGTTTTGAATATCTGCTGTTTGCAAACAGAAGGGTGTGGGGAGGGAGTCACCGCTGTCATGGTTAGAAGCGCTGGGCATGCTGACCAAGGACTGACTCTGACTTTAGCAGCCTCTGAGTCTGCTCGAGGTCTGGGCAGCTTTAGGTTGGAAATTATCTCTACTCATCATTTGTGCCCACAATGCTGAGGTATAGCCATCCCACACACATTTAGAAGCAGAGCTAGGGACATAAAATGCAACTTGTCTGTAACTGGGGTCAGTCAAAATCAAACAAAACTGACTGGAAACAGGCTAGAAGATAATGCTGGAAAAATAATGTTGGCTTAATCTGAGGCTTCCAACATTAAGTTCAGGAAGCCGAAAATAAACACATCCGGTTGAGCCCGTCACAGGGAGTGTTATCCCAAATTGCTGATGCAGCCCAAAGAACGGGAGCCTGGAGCCCCCCCCCAGTCATGACACCAGCTGGGGTGTGGTTCAGAGAGACGTCTGGAGGAGGGGCATACAGCATTTCAATGTTCAGGGCTGGGGCAATGTTTTGAGACAATGTTTCATTCACTAATTATCCTAGGCTGGCCTCGGGATCACGATATAGACCAGGCTGGACTTGAACTCAGAGGTCCACCTACCTCAGCTATCCTACTACTGGAATTAAAGATGTGCACCATGATGTAGACCAGGCTGGATTTGAACTCAGAGGTCCACCTACCTCAGCTACCCTACTACTGGAATTAAAGATGTGCACCACCACACCTGGCCTCGAAGGGTTAATCCTGCACCTCCAGCATTCATCCCTGAGCAAAGTCAGGCTGAAGTTTCTCAACACAAGCACTGCTCTCAGTCAAAGGAAACGGCTCCCGTTTGTGGGACACAGTAGCCTTCCCAGAGCACACATACACACACCCTTTCCTTAGATTCCCATAACAGCACTGATTCATGTCTTGTTATGGCCAATTTGCAGACAAGGGGCTGAAGCTCAGGGAGTCAGTACAGTAGTTGAAAGGGTGCTAATGTGCGCTCGTGTGTGATAATTATACAGCCAGCTTTAGGGACTCCAATAACAGCGTCTGCCGTCTTCTCTTGTGGTTGAGTGTTCACAATACTCTCCCACGGCTACCAAGAGCTTACTTGCACTCTTACTAGGAACTGGGCACTATTAAGTACCTTAGATGTCTTTGGCAATCTACAAATATATCATTACATATGTACAAAAAGTTAGGAGCCTAGAGACACGAAGTAATCTGCCTGAGGTCATGTGACTAGGATGTTTAAAAGTCCAGTTTTGCCTTCTAAAGTCCCAAAGTATAACTGATCTAGCTGCTGCCTGAAAGACACGTTAACTCCCACTGACATGTTCAAATTCCTTCTAAAATTTTGGGTCCTCCGAGATTTCCCCTCTTTTTCTGTGTGTAGTCAAATTTCCTAGCATGAGTCTTATCTGAGGTGCTGATCTGATCATTTCCATTTTCATACTCCCGATTGCCTGATGCCCAGCCCACATTCCCCCAGGGCTTCTGCCCTCCAACCGAAACAGCTTTCCCACCAAATAGCCCTTACCCCCACACTCCCTCACTTACAGACAATTTTCCCGGAGTTGCATTTCATCTTCTAATTGCTTGTACTGTATTTTATTCTACAGCTAGACTACAACGCCCACAAGGAAATGTGGTCACACCCATCATCTTTCTGTTCTGGCATAGCCACAAGCCCATTTCAATGCATCCATGCACACATGCTCAGTACACTCTCTGACAAAATAACCACGAGTTAACTATCTTCAAGCCCCTCCCCCCAGGACCATCTGGCTCACAGACAGGATTCCCATTTCCCCAAAGGAATTCCTAATGCTATATAAAGAAAACAGCTACAAGGGAACATTTTTATTTTTAGAAAATCAGCATAAATCTATTGCATACAACATGGTCATGTGCGGCTCGAAGACACAGATATGTTCTGGAAAAAAAAATGTGTAGCTAGGCAATTTCAACACTGTGCAGACACCAGAGCATACAAATACACTGCTGGGTGGTATCACCCACCTCCCAGGAGGCTGTGTGGTCCAGCCTGTGGCTCCTAGCCTACACATCTGTACAACATACTACCGTGCCGGATAGCAGAGGCAATTGTAAAACACTGGTGTTTGCCTACCTCAGTATATCTCGTGTGGAAAAGAACCTGTAGAAAGATGCTGGGCAATGAGGTTTGTCAGTTCCACTTTGAATGGAGCCACCGTCGCCAGTGCAGGTGCGGCCGGCCGACAGTGGCGCTCCTGTGAGCGGGCTTGCCCGTTTCAAGGCGGCCTCGGGGCCTGCGGAGACTTACCTGCTTGAGGTGCTCGCTGAGGGCAATCCGCAAGCTGCCATTCCTCCTGTTGAGCATCTCACAGGTCATGAGGGTGTAGAAGATCGCCGTGCACACCAAGGGCATGCAGAAATAGAACCCGAAGAGCCACCAGTCCTTCACGTCTTGGTAAAACTGCCCGGTGAGGAGGAGAAAGGGAGAGAGGGGCGCTGGACCGCAAGCCGACTGTGCAGCACCCCGCCCGCCCGCCTGCCCGCCTGCCCCAGTCCCTGTGGTTGTCGACGCGGTTGCATCTGCCCGCTTTGACGGCAGATGCCTTGTGCTCAGTTTTTTGTTTTTTTAAATTTGTGTTTCTCAGCACTGGATCATGCCTGGTAAGGGCTTTGCACACACCAGGCAAGTGCAGTCCTCTAAGCTGTAACATATGAAGACATGCATGTTAAAGTTACCCAGTTATGCTTCCAAGGGTGCCTCGGAGAGCCCTGAGCTCATTTCTGTTACACAACTGAGGAGCTCTAATGAGTACAGAGACTCCTCTTGAAGTTCCACACAATGGGATTGGAGACATTTTCACCGCTGAGCCTCAACATTTTCATAAGATTGGCTGACTCTTTGGTTGTGTGGTTAAAGTGTGCTTAGTGTGAGTGTCTCATGTAGGGACAGTGAAGGCTATCAGTGAATGGCTTATCTGTGGCTGAGGTTGGTGGGACTTAACCCTTTGCCTGGTATGCCTGCTATGTGACCCCAGAGTCAGCCAGCTTAGTCATCAACAACTCCACGCCCCCTCAATGCTTGTTACCTGGAAACTACTGAGTGGCGGTATTCTAGCTAAAGGCTGACTTGGCACTCTCTCCTGTCTTTTAAAAAAACTTTATTTAATGTGCATTGATGTTTCACCTGCTTGTCTGTGTGAGGGTGTCAGATCCCTTGGAACTGGAGTTACAGACAGTTGTGGGCTGCAATGAGGGTGCTGGGAATTGAACCCAGGTCTTCTGGAAGAGCAGTCAGTGCTCTTAACCACTGAGCCATCTCTCAAGCCCCCAGTTTTCTGTCTTTTTAAAGGTGGATAAAAATGAAAGTTGAGCAATGCTACTCAAATGCTTCCCGAATTAACCCTGAGCTTGGGAAGGCAAGCCTATAACTTCCTTACGTTCCTTCTCCAGACTTTACTTACTGAGGGTAACGTAGCCTCTTGTGATATCAGTTCCTGCAGATATGGCCACCTTATTCCCTGAATTCTAAAAGTTTCTGTGCATGGAAAGGAACCCTTTAAGGCTGATTAAGTCATCTAAAAATGGTTCCAGAAGACAAACATTCAAGCAAGGCTTCTTAACTGCCAAATGCCACAGACCCCCTTGGAAATCTGGTGAACATGAGAATTCCTTCTGAGAACAATACAGTGTGTGTGCAAGTGAGCATCTGTGTGTGTGCACGTGTGTGTCTGTTTTCGAGTGCATGCGTGTGTATGTGCATGAGCACGTGTCTGTATTCGAGTGCATGCATGTGTGTGTGCGTGTGAGTGTGCATGCGTGCACGTGTGTGTCTGTATTTGAGTGCATGTGTGTGTGTGAGCGCACGCGTGCATTTGTGTGCGTGCTCATACATGCATGTGCACGGCTTTAGGTATCATGCTTCAGGAGACATCTCCCTTGTTTCTTGAGGCAGGGTCTCGCACTGGGACCTGGGGCTGGCCAATTTGGCTAGGCTATCTGACTAATGCCTGTGAGCTGCAGTCCCTTGCCTTCCCAGCACTGGTTCTACAGGCTTATGTCACCATGCCCAACTTTTTACATGGATTCTGGGGACTGAACTTTATCATTTTATCAAGTGATAAAATTCCCAGACATCAACATTGTATGTTAATAAGCACAAAGTTATATGTATGTGGTCACAATGGAAACCAATTACATTGAAATGGAGCTATCAAAAAACTGAAAACAAAATTCTGATAAAGATGTGTGTTCATCAGCAAATTGCATAGCATATCGGTCTGATTAAATAATATAAAGGCTCTAAAAACTACCAAGCATTGAACATTAATTCCAGCAATGAGTATGAGTATTTCAAGATTGTGTGCATATGTTTCTCTCTCTAAAAAAGTCATGGTACCCTTAAACATTACAGTGGCTTATTATATATATTTTGCTTTCTGAGAGGGTTTCTGTGTGTAGCTCTGGATGTCCTGGAATTCACTCTATAGATTAGACTGGCCTCGAATTTACAGAGATCTACCTGCTTGTGCCTCCCAAGCTGGGATTAGAGTAAGGTGTGCACCACCACCAGCAGACTATTTTCTCCATTTAAAGTCAGAGGAGGTGATATATTTCAGGGGAAATTTAGTGAAAACAAACACATTTCCTTTTCCATCCAAGCTCCCAGACCCTCAAAATCTACCCCAGATTAAGTGCAAACTCCCAAATGAGTTTGTTTCCTCTGGTTGTTAAACAGACCTCCCCTAGTCCATTCCATTACAGAAGGATTTCTGGAACTTAAAAAAAATCCAGACTCTGTCCTTGTTTAGAAGTACAGTGCAAACATCCTGTGAGACCTTGCTCACCCCTCCACACCCTCGCACACCCCACTTTCATAGCCTCTTCCCACAGAATTGCAGGCTGAGCGGGCATAGCCTCGAAGCAGCTGCCTGGGGTCTGGAAGGTGACCCCGGACAGAGCTGGATGGAGTGCCCCACCCCCTCCATGACGAGGGCTGACTGAGGAAGGAGAGACATGGTTCTGTTTTTGACTGTCATCAGCTGGGACGGAAAGGGCGCTGGGACAGCCTAGCCTAGAGCACAGCTGAAGAGTATGAAGGGAGATGGAAGTTATGCCAGAAAAAAAGTGTATCCAGACCGGAAATGGATGCCGAGGCCTCACCAGCTTGACTCACACCCTTCACGGCCACCCGCAGCCACCCCGGCCAGCCCACGGCTCCCTCTTCTCAAACCCTCCACGGATGCCTCAGGCTTTATGACATCACCTGTCCCCTTCTGTCCATTTCCAGGGGACCCTCAACGTCCAGAGTGCTCATGTGCCCCTCCCAGTTCCAAACCCGAAACATGGCTAAAGCCACCCCACTGCGTTGTTCATGGTGTAAACTGACCTAGTTAAAAAGGCTGTAAGAGGAAGACTTTGATCTTGAGGTTGTCAGCTTTCAGGATAACTGATCGGATGCAGAACTATGAACCCGGTCAGTTTTCCCACTGCAGAGAGGCATGGTCTGAGCTGTCTGTGCTGTGGACCTGTGCAGGTGACCCTGACATCAAAGCACTTCATTTGACTGACTCAGGGGACACAGGTGTCCGCTGTCCACCTGGAACCAGTTTTGCAAAGGGGATGTGCATTCTAAGACACATTTTCCGGTACTTAAGCTTTTCAGAGCAATGCTGAGTGCTCAGGGATTCAGGTCTAGGGTCCATGTCAAAATAAGCCCAGGCAAGCACAGCAGCCAATTTTTAGTGAGCAAGCCTGAGCTTCAGGAATCTGGATGTCTATCTAACCCTTTACTAAATGTGCTTAGGGGTCAGAACCTATAGCGTCGTGCATGTTACAGTGATTTCCCACAGGGCACACAGGCAGCTCATTTTGCTGCAGAAATGTTTTGTCAAGTATTTTTTGGGATAAATAAGATTTGTTTTCAGAAATAAAACTGAGCGAACCTCATTTTCTCGAGTGACATGCACTGTCTGTCAGATGCAATGCCTTGTGGGTATGTAGCTTTTAATCATAAAGGCAGATCACATCCTTAACTTGCAGGGGTAGTCTCTCAGTATATTGACTGGACTGCTTTGTACAGGAAAGTTTTGTCTGTGGCTGTACTACCAGACAAGAATGGGAGGTGACACAGTGTGGCCTTCCGGGCAGTGGAGGAGCATCTGCCCTGTACGGGAGAAACCAGCCAGCCAAGTACGGTGCCTCCCTCCCCAGCTGACCGTGACACGGTGAGTGAATGGTGTGAATGATCAATACCTCCATGAACCTGGTTGTGGCGTTGAGCATGCAGGTGCGGTGCTGCTCGCCCCTGTATTCGAAGGGTACCATGACAAAGCCGATGGCTTCTGGGATGGCCAGGATGAAGGAAAGGATCCAGATGGAGACGATTTCAATGGCGGTAATCAGGGGGATCCCGATTCCTTGAACTCGACTCCAGGAGGCCACTGCTCTGTACCTGGGGGGAGGAGGGAAAAAGGGGAAGGAGGAAGAGGGGAGGAAGAGGAGGAGGAGGAGGAGGAGGAGAGGAAGAGGAGGAGAAGGAGGAGGAGGATAAGGAGGAGGAGGAAAAGGAGGAGGAGGAGAAGGAAGAGGAGGAGAAGGAGGAGGAGGAGGAGAAGGAGGAGGAGGAAGAGGAGGAGAAGGAAGAGGAGGAGGAGGAGAAGGAAGAGGAGGAGGAGGAGGAGAAGGAGGAGGAGAAGGAAGAGGAGGAGAAGGAGGAGGAGGAGGAGGAGGAGAAGGAGGAAGAGGAGGAGGAGGAGGAAAAGGAGGAGGAGGAGGAGAAGAAAGAGGAGGAGAAGGAGGAGGAGGAGGAGGAGGAAGAGGGGGAAGAGGAGGAGGAGAGTAAATCAAGTTAGTACATTTTGAGCTCATTTTGACTGCAAAGTGCCTCCCCTTGGCAGAAGAACACCATTGCTTTCAAGAGGTTTTCTTTGAGCCTTGTTGTGAAATAAAACAAAACAAAGCAAAAACAGTTTACCCATTTGGAAAAGATGGCCCAGCAGGCCTGAGTCTAAAATCTGTAAAGAACTAAGATTTATGAGTGCTACAAAACACTGTCATCCAGATATGACGTGGACGCGGTGAGCATGAACACGTGGCAGCCGTGGAGTCCTGAATAAGGCCTTCACAGGGCTGGGCCCTTCGGCAGGCCGTCATGGAGGGGCGGTGCCCACGAGGCCCACCCGCTGTTGAGCAGCTCTCCTGGGCAGTTAACGGCAGTAGAAGGAGGCAGGGTCTTTCTCTTCAGTAGTGTGGTCACTGGAAGGTTGTTCATGTTCCAGCAAAGCAACCATCTAGCCAAGCTCCTAAGCAACCCAATTCAACTGAGGGGGCAGGTGGGACATAGGACTAGTTGGGAAGAAGGGGTTCAGAGGGAGAGGGAAGAGACAAGAGAAGGTAGTGGGGGTTGAATATAATCGTAATACGTATGTCTGAAATTGTCAGTAAACCAGTAAGTAAATAAATAATGGCAAAAACGAAAAGAAAACCTTACCATGTTTAGAGAGTGGCACCAGCAGGTGTGTGTGTGTGTGTGTGTGTGTGTGTGTGTGTGTGTGTGTGTGTGTGTGCTGCGCGTTTTAAGCTGAGGGCAAGGAGGAGATAGGCAGGGTGGTGAAACGTGTTAGAACTTTCCTGTGTGTGTGTGTGTGTGTGTGTGTGTGTGTGTGTGTGGTGTGTGTGTGTGTGTAATGCATATTCCAGACAGTTCCAGGCTATCCTGGAACTCACTTTGTAGACCAGGTTGGTCTTGAACTCAACAGAGATCTGCCTGCCTCAGCCTCCTGAGTGTTGGGATTAAGGACATGGGGCACGACTTTTGGCTTCTCTTTATTAGCAAAACTTGAAACATTACCAATGAAGTGAATTATCCTTGACCAAATCGTGACCACACAGACTCCATAGTTTCCTCCCTTCCTTTATCTTTAAGATATTATTAGAGTGGGCTTCACCAGGCAGCACATTCAGCAAATACCATTTCTGTAAGTACTGAAGGATTGTTAAATATCTCCCATTATAGTCCTGAGTCAGGAAATATGAAACCAAGTTACAAATGTCTTCATTCCTAATCTGCAGATTAACAACCTAACAGAAAAGAATAGAACAATAAATAAAATACAACTAACCCCCTGACATTCAGAAATCATGCTTACGTTAGTTTTTACTCCAGTATTTTTGGTATGTATATAAACTGAGACAGTGTCTCATGTAGCCCAGAGTGGCCTAGAATTCACGGTGTTTCCTAGAACGACCTTGAGCTCCTGGTCCTCTTGCTTCTGCTTCCCAAGTGCTGGGATTATAATTGTGTTCCCTGCGCCTGGCTATCTAATATTTTTGTGAGAGGGATCACATTTACATGTCTGAAGAAAGTCTGGCTTGGAAACTTCATGCTCCTTGACTTGGTGTGATAGCCCGATGGCAACCGCCATCAGAAGGAAAGACTTGGGACACAGCACGGTCTTTTTTAGTTTTTTACGGTATGGTGTTTTTGAGGTCTCATTCTTGACATTTTTCCTCTAGTTGTAATGGAAAAGAAGGGTTTCTTTTTATAGCTTTCATTGAACAGTGCCAGAAGGTTGTAAAACAGACCAAAGTATCAGAGACAGGTGACTGTGGTTTGCAGGGCATGGGATTGACTGTTGAAGATTAATCAATAAGCCAAGGCAATGTACAAATCACCCATATTCACCAAGACGAGCTCTTTGTCATTTATATTTAGCTCACATCTCAGTGTGTCTACACGGTGTGTGTCTGTGAAGCCGAGGTCCTAAGAATAACAATGCTTAGAGATTGGAACCTATAAACGTCTTGTAGTGTGATGACACCCATGACAAATGTGCAGCTCAGTTTTCTGGAGAAATGTTTTCCAGAACATTTCAGCGTAAGTGAGGTTTGTGTGCATAAGAATGTCTGGAAAAAAAAGACCAGGTTAGTTGAGAATGGAATAAAATATACAGCTATACAAACAGGCCACAGTATGGCATAAACTGTGTATTTTTATTTCCCATTCTATTTTATTGTCTTTGTGGGTTATCGATCCGGCAGCCTGATGTTCAGTAAAAACCAGGGTGAAGACAGGATGTCTGTGTCTCAAGAATTCCAGTTGAGTTGCATCTTCCTCTTCACCCTTCTCTAAACTCAGTAAGGTGATTGAAATGAAGCACCTTTTCCCACAAGACTGAAAGAAGCTGAATTTCCTAGCTGGCATCTTTGGAAGACGATGGTCTATATAAGACAACGTGATGACTTTGTTTGTAAGCCAGCTTCATTGCATACTGTATCACAAGTAAATCTGGCTGGCACACACATGACACATCCATAATCCAATATGCACTTTTTACATATGTAGAAGTAACTTTTAGCATCTAGTTCATTAATGATTCATAAGCAGTCAGGTCCTTTATTGATTCATATCGCAAAGAATTAGAATGTTTTCCATTTGTATCACATAGATCTTAACATCTTTGTGAGATTAAAAAAATGACTACGAGAACAATTAGAAACAATTCTTTGTGTTGATGAACATGGGAGCTAGTTGAAAATATGAAACCCTAAATGTTCCAACATTTTTTCCTTGGAAGTTTATTATAATACACACACACACACACACACATACACACACACACACACACACAGAGGGAGAGAGACAGAGAAAGATAGACAGATGCTGTTCTTATTACTGAACTTTTTTAGTTTAATTGATTTGTGTGTGTATGAAAGAGATCTAGTGTAGGTCTAGTCACCACCAACTGATCTTGAAATGTCCCGTCACTTGGTTTCCCTACACTATCCTGGTCACTCCTCATTTCCTTAGCTGGACTCTATCCCCAGATCTTTAGTAGTGGATCTCACTAAGTCCTTGGAGCTCTGTCCTGGTGATTCCCTTCATCCTATGGAATTAGTATCGTTTAAACTAGTTATGTATTGGTAATGCCCAAATGTACAGCTATACCCTAGAACCTATCTCAGACTTTGGACTTGAATAGACAGTTGCCAATTTGAGCGTTCCACTGGGCATCGAGCGAGCACCCAAACACTCCGGTTCCTGACCCGTTCTTACCAACTGGTCCCCAAAACTTAGCTTCACTCCTGTTCCACCGCACACTCAGCCTTTTCCTAGATCTTTTAATATCTGCCCTCAAAGGCGCCCGTTTTTAGCATGGTGCCCCACACCTTTAATCCCAGGACGCAGGAGGCAGAGACAGAGGCAGGAGGATTGCTGTCAGTCTGAGGTCAGTCTGGTCTACATATCTAATTCCAGGATGGCAAGGAATACATAGACTTTGTCTCAAAAAGCAAACCAAAACAAAAACCCACAAAAAGGTGTTCCCTTCTCTTCTCACCCATCATCATGCTGCCTGAACTATTTCTATAGTTTCCTAACTAGTGTCTGTACCCACCTCGCCCTACCACAGCCAAGGAACAAACCTACTAAGTAGATAGGGCACCCTCTGCTCCAATCCTGCCGCGCCCGCTCTCCTCCCGGGGACACTCACGAGGGACCCTCACAGTGGCTTCCTTCAAATCTTTACTCAGTTGTATCTTGAAACATTTTTAAAAATTTAAATCTGGGTTTCACTATGCATCCGAGGCTGGCTGGAACCAACTGTGTAGCCACAGCTGGCCTCAGATCTGTTCCCCGAATTACCGTCCCAGGTGCCAGGATCACAGATCTGTAGCCCCCTTCCCCCCCCAGCTCAGATATCTTTTTCTGAAACCCTCACTTAAAATTTTGGAGTCCTCTTCCTGAATTATTCTGTTCCATTTGCATTTTTTTCTCCATAGTACTTACCACTATGGAACCAAAGAAAAGTTTTCTCTTTGTGTATTTGTTGACTGTCTGTGCCAACCCCTCCATTTAGAAACCCATCGCCGTGCAGTCAGGCACTTTGAGTGTTTCCAGGACACAGAACAACAGGTACCAGACAGATACCTGCTGAATGAAGTGTCGTCTCCCTACCTATGTCCTTTTCTCTTTACCATGCTCCGTTTTACTTTATTGGACAACGCACCCAACGTCATGAACATTTCCCGCTTTTCAAGCTAGTCCTTTCTTTTTAAAAGCATAGAATCAAATAATTTTAAAACAAGGAGGGACTTCTGGGCTGTTTGCTTTTGTCCTTGTATTCAAGATGGGAACCCTAAGGACTGGAAAGGCAAGGGCTGGATGTTGCCACACCCATGTCCAGTGAAAGGGGAAGCCTGGGCCAGGAGATTGGCCTAATGACTCGCAGGGAGCTTCTCATTTATCACCTTGTGCCCTGACATGTTACATGTCAGAATAAAAGGATAGAGCATCTTTTACATATGTCATAGCATATGCCTTTAAGTAGATTTTAGAATGTTTCCAAGGCCAGAGGCATTTGCTGCATGTGTGGAACCTTTATTATTATTATCATCATCATTATTATTTATTTTTCCAAGACAGGGTCTCACTGTGTAGCTCTAGCTGTTCTG